GTTCATCCATTCATACAGATAAATTAATTTCTCTACTTTTATTGTAGTGTATAATAAATCAACTTGTTTTCATTTCTATTTTATTTTCCTCCTTTTATTTATCGATATCTTTATTGCTTTTATCATGTAAACTTGCACCAGTGTTATCTAATAAAGGCTCAACTTTTTCTGTTAGCTTGTGATTGTTTGCAAGTAATTGATTTGTGCAATATTGTAGAATTCGTCATGAATGGTGGCATCAAAAGTTAATAATGATCACAAGTTTTTATGACTAAATCAATAGTATAATTTATTTTTGTAACGCTGATTCGATTCTTTAATTCCTTGATGTATTTGAGTCTGTGTACAAATAATTAAGAGACGTGATATTCTATCTCGTTATGTTGGTAATCATACAAGAATGATATGCTTCCAAAAGATACATTTAAAAAAATTTTTAATAAAATAAAAATTGTCGAATGCTGGACAGTCTGGAAGTTGACATTTTTTCAGATTTTTTAAATTTTTTCTCTTTTTTATTCTCTTTTTTATTCAGACATATTATTAATAGTTTTTCTCTTTTTTATTTTCTTTCTTTAATCATCGTTTCATTTTTATTTTCCAATGCTTTTATGATATTCTCCTAACATGTAAAATCTTTCATATATACGTAATTCTTTTGAACGTAATGAGGTTACATGAAATACTGCTGTGCATGAATTATATAACATCTTATATAGCATGAAATAGAGTTTTTGGAAAAAATAATTTTCAAAATATTAATACTTGTATATTGCACTTTTTTGCTACAAAAGAAATAATAAATAGAAATCATCGTCCATGTATCTAGTAACTTTTAGGCATTTTTGACAACTTTTATCAACTTTGACATATTCAACTCTAATAAAATCTAATTTTAAATGTTACATACGTAGAGATATATAATTTATAATGATCAATATAAAATCACATTGATCATTTTATACAAAAATAACGCGTAAAAAAATATAATTAATACACTATAATCAACTTAACATAATTTACAAATGTTTACAAAAATTAAGAAAGTATTTAAATGCGATACAAAAATTAGTCGAAGTACTTTTCTAAATTTGGGCCAGCTTTTTTAGATTCTGCTTCACTGTGTGCCGTATATAGAAGCTCATATTTGTTGGACAAATCTCTTTCATAATCTTCTCTATTATAGTTTCCTATTAATTAATTAGAACATGAGGTGTAGGATCGATTAAAAAATATTGAATAGGTTTCGTACGTTATGACAGCCTCCTGTCAATTTCAACATATACCTTCAGAATAAAGTTGTGCTAATAAAAAAAATGCATACTTATTCTTCAGGATTAGCATACTAAATTAAGTTTATTATTAACACTAGTCCAATTGAGTCAACTTGGGCAGATTTTGGACATCCAGCATGAATAGACACTAATTCTTGAATCTTACGCGATCATTTCTTTTATACAACAACAAATACTTGTTCCATTGTTCTCCAAGAGTTTAAAAATGAAATGTTCACCGATTAAAAGACAGAGAATTGTCAAATTCTTGGTTTCAAATATCATTTTTTTATCTTTGATTAAAAAGTTTTCATTTTCCAATAATTACTCGTATTTTTAAATTTAAAGTAGAAACCTAAAAATTACTTGATAAGTTAAAAATGTCTATTTTAGATAGCAGATAAGAATCTGATCTGAGCTCTCAAGACACTTTACATATCAGAATCTAATCGTTTCTCCAATAGTTAATATAGTGTTAGAGTAGGAGCAATGAAATAGTCCTGTATTTCTTGTTTCGGTGTTTAGCAGAAATTGACAGCTAGAATTTGAATTAAGATACAATTATTCAAAATTAAAATACAAACATGTCTATTAATAATTTTCACTTTAACGACCATGAAATGCAATAGAACTTAAGATTCAACGAATATACATGTTCCTATAATACCAATTACTAATAGAACTTTTGTATCCAATTTTTCTGTAAATCAAAGTTTGTATTATTTCCATAACCAACGCTAATGAATTTTATTACAAACAATTTAATTTGTAAAACGCAATAATCTATTTATTTTTTTCGTGACATGTTTAACAACTCGACTTTTATAATTTCTATAACTTTTCATGTAATTTGATTTTTTATACAATTTCTGTTTGACTTTTCAATTTTTTGTTTTTTAAATGTTTTTATCGAATAGCGGCACGCGAGCACCGCATAGTTTCTCGATAGTTTCTCTGCATGAAAAATTCAGAGTACATGATAATATTGTGGTTTTAATCAACTCATAGTTTCTCGCGCGGAATTCTATGTTAAGATAAAATTCGCGGTCTTTTATGGTAATTTTTATGGAAATTTCAAACTGCTTCATGCTTAACTCATGTTACAATCTCTAGCATTGATCAACTAGCATTTCTCTTTTTACGAAAAATACATGCAAATCTCCAAGAAAGTCCCATATTAAAACACGCACCAAGGGCCAAAATATCCGATGCATCGTAGCTCAATTGGCCAAACCGACCAAAAACATAACATATAGTTTATCCTCTAAAGTGAGAAAACAGTTTTTCAACATTCTCCAATCGCGTTTGACCCGCGCCACGCTGCTATATATTGCTAAATTTCTATCCACTTCTTTATACGCATATATAAAGAATACATATATACGTACATGTATTTCTATTATTATCATATACGTAGAATCTATGAAATGTGTTGTCAATGAAATTAACTTATGAATTATATATATATATATATATTAGTAGGAACAATTTCACGACGTACCGCGTCGTGCACGTTTAGCGGCGAATCTTCTGTTAAATTAACTTTTCTCTACGCCTCGCGAAAATAGAAGAAATCTCTGTCGCGCTAAGAACATTATGTTTGCGCAAGCAACGAATAATCATATATTCGTTGCATTATTCGAGAAGCAGTGTTTAAACGCATTTACGTCCAAACGTAGTAGTCTCTCGTCGCGAGATCGCGGAATAAGTTTAATCGCCTTTTATCGTAGTTCGTTAATAATTAGTGCAATTTACAATCTCGAAAACCGCGCCGATTTTACTTCTAACATTTTATTACTGATATATGATAACTATTTTTTCCGTATTTTTTCCTGTTAACAACAAACTTAAATCACTACTTAACTACGTCATGGCAAGTCTAAAATACCTGTCCCAAAAGAAATGTTGCATGCAAGAGATGATAGGATGAAAAGGTAAGGTCAAAGAGAAACTAAAAATGGAACTGTATCATTCCATATTTTTCCTCTTTTTTTTAAGTTATTTGAAAAGAAAAACAGAAAATAAGCAATAAATCCAGTTGTAATTAGTGAAAATTGAGTCAAATCTTAAGTGGGTCAACGCACGTAGTCTATACAGATATGTCAAAATGATTGACATAATTTCTTCTGTACTTTTTTTAACTCTTCAGACTCACATTTAATATTTAATAAAAAAAAAATTTTCTCGAAAAACAACTATTTTTTTCAATTCAAAAGATTAATTAAATATTAAAAGCGTGTATGTACAATCAAGATGCTTTATTCACTATTGATATAGAGGCGATTTAATTGTGATCCAGTTTCGCTCCATTGTTTCAATTCAAAATAAATATAAATATAATAATTCCGTTATGATTGTGTTTCAGCGTTACTTAAATTTATCCGTTTCATCTGATAAATTGAATATTTAATATTAATATTTTGTTATTTAATACAGGTATATTTTTATACATAAATAACTATTTTTAATTAAGTTGCAAAATTATCAGTTATATATCTTTTGCAAAATTTTTCAATTTTTTTAGACATTAGAGAACATTTTACATTTTTTAAAACTAAAAAATTCATTTTCTTTTTATAACAAACTGCAATTAAAGTAGATAGGCTTAAAAAGTAGATACTTTTCGAAAAAAGTACATACAATCTTTAATTTATTGATATTTATAGTGCATAAAGCTATATAGAGAATAACATGATATTGTTCCGCTAAAATATTCATCTTAAAAATTCAATAATATCTGAACTTGAATAAATTAATAATGTGAATAATTATATTTAAGTTCCTTAGCTAAAGAATATTTAATTGGAGCAAGAGTAAAACACAATTATTATCGTACTCATATCGTGAACAAAGTCTATAATGGTTTTAGGTGCGCCTGTAATTACAAGAAATTTTACGATCCACATCAATTTTTTTTAGTGAGCAGGAGATAGTTATGTATTAACGTTGTATTATGTATTAACATAATTACACCACTATATACGAATGACATTTTTTTGTTTCTAAGAATTCTCTCTCGTCATTTAAATAAAAATAAATACAGAAATGTCGAATTTTTGTAAAAAGTCTTATAGTTTAATAATAGCAATTTTTATTTTTATGGCAAAATAATAAATTATAAAAGAAAATATATTTAACTTTCTGTAGAATTTTTCATGAAATTGAGTGTCATTCATATATGACGTGGCATTCATATATCAAAAGTATTTCAATTATATAAATTTAAGTGCGCGTGCATCTGATAGGTGCGATATGATACTATTCGCTACGCACGATACCCAAATGAAAAAGTTTTTAAATAGCTAAATGTTATCTGAAAGTCTAATGTTTCTATAAATTTAAGCGGTATATAAATGTGTGTTCAACATTTATAATAATAATAATATAACAATAAATGTTAATTATTGTACATAAATTTTTAAGTCGTTTAAACTTTCGGGAAATAAATAGTAAAATTGCCTTGCCTAGTCATCATATTTGATATCTTAGAGCAACAATCAAACCTTGCGATCATTGTTGTTCTGCGATCCAACGGCGTACTTCATCTTCTCTTCATTTACTGAGATTCGTTAGTCTGTTCTATCATCTATTATGTGCACTGAGGTAGATGGATGGAATATTTGTGGCGTATATGTGGGTGCTCCATCGCGCACGCGCGCTTATATACACACACATATATATGTGTATACACGCATACATATATATATGTGTATGTGTCTGTATGTATGTATGTGTGTATGTGCGTGTATACATGCGAGTATGTATTTGCATAGTTTTGCATATATACATATGCTTACTTGCTGTAATGGCAATTAAGTGACTCTAGTCCAACAAGCAAGCTTGTCCACGCACCATCTATATATCGGCGTCAAAATACTTTGGAGACTTTTTAACTTTTCAAACATATCTGGCATCCAATAAACTTCACAAGTCATTTCACGCAATAATAGAGCAGGCAATAAGAAACAAGAATTATTGGTCGATTCTTCGGGTGGACGATCTGGCATATACATTACTTCCCTTGCTTCATTAAACAAGAATTGTCGCGAGCGCCTATTTATGCCGCAAACTGCAGATCATTCGAAGAATTCGTCAGTAATTCGAAGATGCTGTTTAAAATCATTAGCTATTCTAGAAGGAAGGAATTATTCCTTTATCACTTCTGGCTCCTCATTCTCGCTAAATTCGTCGTCATCCGCACCTGACGATTCCACTTCATCGGCAAGTCCGCTGTGTCTGTCGAATTCCTGCCTGTTCTCATGAACGACTCCGGAGCCTCGACCCTCGTCTCTGCCGATTATAGGATAATCCTCCAAGCTGCGACTGCCGTGCTTTTCCAAACTCATGCGCATCTTAGCGGCATGTGCTGCTACGGCGGCCGTATGCTCTGGACTAAGTCCTATCGCCGATAGACCAGAGTTCTCTGCAATAAACTGTAAATAGGTGTCCAAAATCGCCGAGCCAGCAATCGCACTAGTATTGTGGCCCGGATGATGACTGCCATGTGGCAATGGCGCCATGTTGAGGTCACCGTTACCATGCATAGAATCCAGAGACTTGGGTACGATCGTTGTCGAATTCTTGCTATTGCTGCTACTGTTGCTGTTGCCGCTTACCTTAGTAATAACGGTGTTCGAAAGTGGTGAACTGTACCTAAGACTAAGGTCTTCGGGATCATCACCACCGCAGCTGTCAACTTCGGATGCACCTGCACGAGGTGGCTCCAACCTCATGTCGCTTCTTCGAGATGCTGTTGGGCTGGCTCGTGCGCGAAGTTCAGCCGGACTCACCTTGACTCCAGCCTTAGCTAATAAACGGGACGCCAATTCTGGATCGAATTTACTGGGCATCGGCATAACTGGAAGATCTTTCGTACTGATGCCTCGATGTTGTCTCGACATGTGTGAATGCAGAGAATTCCGAGATTTTGCCACTGTGCCGCATAAAACACAGCGATATCCCGGACAGACTGTATGTTTGTCTTCCAAATGAGTGCGCAACGTATGTGCTGAACGATACATCTTTCCGCACTTCGGACAAGGCCTAGGATCCGTTGCACGGACTCGAATCATATCCAGACTTCGTCGAGCGACTGAAAATAAATGACGGATGGGTAAGAGATGGGTATTCATGTACCTCTTTCATTATGGAAGAAAGAAAATTGAATCATTGACCAATATATAATCGATTAACAATGATTGTTCGATAGGAATAATTTTGATTTATATCGACATTCCAAATTTTATTTTGTCATTATCTTTTTTTGAGGGCAATTAATTTTGTAAATAATTAAAATTAAAAATTATATCGTCTCTAATTTTATATAAGGTTTTGTATTATATTGTTGAGTTGAGAAAGGTAATAAAAATAATGGAAAACTATTGAGGAAACAAAAAAGTTCTACTTACATAAAAATATAAAAATACGATAAGAGAGAATTACATGAAATTAACTATTTTTCTTTTAAAATCGATTACACCGATGTTGTAATCGATAGTATTATAACTATTCATAAGAGATTGTGGAAATATAATACTCTGGAGTTCTCTGAGTACTTTTTATTGTACAAAGCATTACTTAAATAGTATAGACTTTATTTCGTACATCTTATATATATATTTATATATATATATAGAAGCTAGTATCTGCTAAAATAATATGTACGGTATTCTATACATTATTTATAGTACGAGTTGTCAGCCAGGAAAAGAAAAAAACCGATAATAAATAATATTAAATAAAACAGATACTTTGCTTCGCGGATACTTTGCAGCGCTCGATTTTCTAAACATCATAATATCGAATATATAATACATTTCGTGAAATGTAAATTTAAAAAAATTTTATACAAATTCTGTCTTATTATTAACACTTTTCATTGGGTCTTCTCCAATTTGGCTATTCATCATAACTTTGAATAATTCATTCAGCACATAAATCCTTTTCTACGTGTATGATTCTACATTCCAAATATTAAATAAAAAAACACTATCTGAGCTAAATTGGAGGCGGTCCAATGAAAAGTGTCAATGATTATAAATTAATATTTATTGTGTTCCGACACTTCCTTTCGAGATTCGCAACTAACAACTCGTACATTCACAGAAATATATATAAATATACTTCCTCGTGTTTATTCGCGGCGTATTCTAGTATATGCACAGTTTCGAACGTAACGTCTTTTGGGGCACTCTTGACCTAAGAAATACTGATGAAACGTAAGACGTAGAAAAATAAGGCTAGGCATTGTCAAGCGACCGTACTTCTGGTCGACGTATTCATTCGCGATCCATTCACTCACATAGTAACCTGCATATTTTCATGCATTTCGTGTATACGCGCCAGCATCTCTCACACACATCGTGCAATTTCGTGTTTCTTCGCGATAAGAGCAAAACGGATCTTTAGAACTGATCGACCGCTCGATTTCATCGTAGTCATCGTGCGTTCTTCCGTTCAGTTTCTACACTCTTAAGACTACATTATTTAACATAAGGCTGGCTTACTCAGCTTAGAGGAACATTGTTTTCTCTCTTAGATACATAATCTAATCCTTATATCAATGTCCGGCGTCTGCCGGATGTCGCAGTGTGTAAGTGTATCGTTTCATTCTCTACGGCGTGATCTACGCTTCAGGCTCTACAGGAAATACTGTTTCGTACATTTTATACAAAATCAACTTTATGTATATCTCTTTATGTATATATATATATATATATGCTCAATATAATAGCTTTTCATATATATATTTATAGATTCTCTCCTTTGTCGATATAATCTCTCGCATATATACAGTGTGCGCTTTTTGTTAAGGATAAACTTCACGGTGGGTGCGTGTTTCAAAATAAAGCACTAAAGTTCGGTTGTCACCTTTGCGCATTTCCTATCACGCCGGGGGGGGGTACACATTAGAGACACACTTTCTCCCAGATAATTCGTAATTTGTGTATTCCTATCAACGTGTGTTTACCAATTTCTTTTGCGTTTATAAATATTCGAATATTTGTTAATTTTATAAAGAATTCAAATTCCGTCGACCAGACTCTCTTCCATCGTGATTCAAAATAGCACGGCGCGGCGATAACAAGCTCGATTTGACGTTAATTTGATATTTATTCTTATTATGAAAATGTTAAATGAATAGCTAAATTTTCTTGTATGTACAAGGAATGATTGTAAATTGATATCTAAGTACAAATATATTTAAATTCATTAAAATATATTTTTTCTTGTATATAATTATTAATATAATTATTACTGTGTGTAATATATTTTATTAAGATATATATCTTAATAAAGAAATATATTAAATATTATAAATAATAATTTGCAAAATCCTATTAATAACAATATATTTCCAAAAAAACATTGGATCATTTAGATCTATATTCATCATTTCTACTATAATAATGCTAATAGCAATTTCCAACTGTAAAAAGTTTGCTCTAATATAATAAATTATTACTTATTATCGCCGCCCAGTTAGCACACAAAGAAATATAGGGCCACACCGGAAAACAAAAAGCAAAGTTTCTTTGGTAAAATATTTGTAGGAAAGATTAAAGTTACGATACGCGATCAGAGTTATACTGATCTTCGCTTCTTCATCAGACATAGGTCCACCTCAAGGTCTTAATCTGGTCCCACTCTACAGGATGCTTCAGTCGCATATGGTTCCTGACACTGTTGGGATGAGAGAAGGTTTTAGCGCAGGAGGCAACGGGACAGGTGGGTGAATCTCTGGGATAATGATGATCCAAATGCGCTCTCATAGCGCTGATATCATGCAATGTCCTACAGCAGAGAGGACACCTGTAACCGTGCTGTCGATGGTGCTCCCGCAATAATCTCTGCTGCCTGAAGTCCGGTTGGCCACGTTCATATTTGATGGTCGTCGTGATCGTGGTGGCCGTGGTGGAAGATTGATTAACTGATGTGTCGTCTTCCAGTTGCGCCTGATGACGATGGTGAGGAGGAGGGACGGATAGTGGATGATGATGGCGATGCCGATGATGTTGCTGGTGATGGCTGTGGTGGTGGTGGTAAGCCGCGCCCTCTGCCTCATCAAGCCCGTGATCTGCAACCACCACCACACCAACGTTACCACCAGCCACCACCACCATAATCCCACCCCGAGCTAAACACGATAATGCTACGCGCCCAACCTCGACCCAAACGGTGTTCAACATCTAGGGGTATTTCCCGCAGCGGTTGCTATTATACCGTGCTCTTACTAGTTGGAATCAACCGCTAATTAATTATTATTAATACGACTGACCGTCAGCGTAAAGTGCCCATTGTTTGAATATACAGTGATAATTTATTATGCTTTCAAAAAAAAATATACCGTTAAATATTGATGATTACTTCATTATTTTTGAAAAAGTTAATATAAATGTTGCTTTTAAATTCGCGCATATTACTTTTTAATTTTATAGCATATATGTGATATTTATTATCACTATGTATTCAAAATATTTTCACATATGCGAAACAATCTCCGAAAATTCAATATAAAAATTGCATTATACATCGTTAAAATGTTTAAGATATCTCACATAACTTCAACATAGCACCAAACATTCATAACAAATAGATACACGTCACATTATTTGAGACATGTTGACATATAATTAGGATATTCAAAATCTGTAACGAACTCGACTCAAATCAAATTCTACAAAAACAAAAATGCGACATTATTAAAAATTTTTTATGGATAATTGCCCTTTACTTCAATGTGGTTGGAAGGAGTCTGGCATCGTGCAAGAGAATGTGGATAATTAACATTTCTATTTAAAATCATGTGTCTTTAAATAGGGAGGAAATGGGAATATTGATACAAATTGAAGACCTTTTACAAATAGCTTGGATTTTCGGCGAAAGGTGACGGAGGTGTTCGAGGTTCTAAATTCGCAAACATGCTGATCAAATATTCGATTCTCGGCCAAATTCTTCACAAATCTCCCCGTCATCATCAATTATAATTACGCTTTCGTATGATTATTTAAGATTACGTTTTCGTCAGTGTTCGTATACCTATTCAGTTTCGTATACATTAAGTTTGATGCATGATTTTAGACGCAACGTTGAAATGATTGATGATTTTGTCTCGTGTCTGTACATAAATCTTACAAGTATTAATACTCGCGTTGTCACTTTCGCATTGTATTTGGACATGCATTTTTTCACAAAAACTACACTTATTTTCGATAACTGCATTAGTTCATTTGTCGCGGTTGGAAATAATTTTAGGTATGTGTCAAATGGATTAAACTTTTTACTCTCTTTCGATTCTCTTGTTAATCTTGTTTCGATCAATTATAAAAGTATTGTTAGAATAACTACAATGTTATCAATATCGAATCTCGGTGACATATCAAATATCAAGATAAATGAAAGCTAATGAACAACATACTATATTATATATAATAAATAAATGGTAAAATATATTGTGCATAACAATGATAAAAATAAAATCAATTTTTTTTATTATTCAATAACAACAATTGAGATGAAAAACAGATAACATTGTATAGTTACGAAATTTTAGTTAAAACTCCGATATATAGATACTATCACAGTATACTCGTATAAGCAAGACACTACAATATAACTGCGAAAATGTAATATTCAATCACTATCCTTCATTGATGTTCGAAAAATCGTATTCAAATAGTCTGTATTGCTTTAATAATCATTGTCGACTACAGAACCTAAAATAGCTACAATGTTCTATCCGAATGAAACTAAACGGATTAAAGAAATTTCAAATGGACAAGTAGCGCAATGGCGACGATTGCAGCTGCAGCGGTGACGGAAATCCTCGTTACGATTTCCAAGTCCTATCAAGCGGATAGCTATACTCTTTCGTTTCCAACCGCGACATTGACTAAAGCTTTTCGACAAGTAGTGAGGATTTGATCGTGTCTGCACGCGTTTCCAGACAACCGTCGGACGGTGACATTGAATGTACTCATGGCAACGAGGACGAGGATGGTGATTGATGCTGCTGCTGTTGTTGGGCAACGGGATTGTTCATGCTAGGCCTCTGATGGATGCCGTGCGCCTGTAGCTGATGATTGATCAGGT